GAACACACAGAGGGAACAGGCCCCGCACGCTGACGAGTACTGCGAGCAGATGTCAGTGAGCTTTCGTGGAAGGGACCAGCTGGCCAATGCATGGGGCTTCCCCTGCCTCTGCTGTGACAGTGCTGCTGGCCCGCCTGGGTGCCACAGCAGGGCAACTTCAGCCAAGTTTATTTTTCTCACAGTTCTGAAGGCACAAAGTAGAAGATGAGGCCAGTTTAGAGTGGGGCTCTTGCCCTGGCTGTTGAGCAGCTGCCTTCCTGCTGTGTCTGTCCACACATGGCCTTTTTTCAGTGTTTCATGGGTACAAAGTGAGTTGAAGGCCAGGCTGAACTATGTAGCAAAACTCTGTCTCAAAAAGGCCAAAAAAAAAAAAAAAAAAAAAGGAAAAGAAAGGAAAAAAAACCTTGAAGGGCCGGGGAGATGGCTCAGTAGAATAAGTGCTTCCCTGGCAAGTGCAAGGGCCTGAGTTCAATCCCCAGTTCTGAAAAAAAAAAAAAAGAAAAAAAAAAAAAAAACTTGACCAGTTTTATTGGTTTAGGGCTTCACCTGATTACCCTTAATTACTTGCTGCTAAAGACTGCAATCCCATTGACATGATGGCTTTTAAACATGACTTTTGAGGAGGAAGGGTCATAATTCTATTGGAAGCCCTTCCTAGTCTTTGTCTGGGTTCCAGAATTTATATTTGTAGTCCCATGGATAAATTATTGGAATTCCTTCAAGTTAATTTCAATCTGCCAGTTCCAGTGCATCCCACAACAAGAATAGAGACACTGAGGCATATCTGTAGTTTTGGGGAGCCAGTGGGTCCTAAGTCCAGCCATGATGAAGCCTATCCAAAACAAAGGCCTTGACCCAGGGCTGAACCCAGATTTTATTCATTCATGAAGAAAGGAGTAGCTGGAGAATGAATGACTGTGAGAGTGGCAGGAGGCAGGTGAGCGCCGCAAGCTGGGCCAGGCAGGAGGCCCGCAGTCGCCTCGGCGGTGTGCAGGAGAAGGACATGCAGAAGGAATAATCTGCATGACACATTTGAGAATAGCATCTGATGTTTTGAGGTCAGTGCTTCAGCTCTGCTGTGTAATCTTTCATGCCCCAGGAAGTTACAGCCTCTATCAAGGCTTGATCCCAGCCAACAACGTGGAGCACTAGCTCATCCTGTCCCAACCTGGCTCACACTAGGGAGCAACAGGTGGTGGTTCTGGGGAAACATGCATGCCACTGGCACCTGGGTTGGACCAATATGCACTGCTTAAGGCCAGTTGAAGGGACAAGGAAAAGTCCTAGCCAGCTCTGTGCATGTCAGCACATGGAAACAGGGCTGGGCTCAGGCACAATAGAGGCAGCTGTTCCTCCTTCAAGGACAGTGTTCCCCACTGAGGCACAGGTGCTCCAGAGACCGAAAACATGCTTATCAACATTTCATAACTCGGACATTATGACACAGCTTTAGTAGTATTTAAGAATCACTATTAAGTCTCTCAACATTGTATTACATGAGAGGTATAACATTCTATCCCTGCCCCCCCAAAGACTCATGTACCTCCCTTGATGCAAAAGGCATTTTAGTCTATCTGCAAGAATTGCCAAAGATAGTTTCAGCAGTGCTGAAAAGTCCAAATCCCAAGCTCTAAGGTAAGCTCTTTGCTGAGAGCCCCTATACAAATGAAAAGTTAAACACTGCCAACATTCAAAGGCATAAGATAAACCCAAAAGGTATACACAAGAGGATACAAACCACTGGAACCAAAGCAAGTTCAAAATCTAGACGGGCAAACGTTAAGTCCTGTAGTTGCATATGGAACATCCAAAGCAAGCTGTAAGGAGTTGTGAGCTCCAAAAGCCTTACGTGACTCCATCCCTGTGGCACTTCTGCTCATATCTCCCATGGCTTCTCAGGCCTGCTTTGCTCCCTTGTTGCAGCTTTCCTTAGACAATCCATGTTCCTGGTTTGTTCAAACTTTTGAGTTTCCACTGAATAGGCTTCTCACAGCTTTACACACTGCCCTCTTGGAGGTACATTGCCTGAACTCCCAGGCAGTCTGAAATTTAGGTGGAAGCCTTCTTAATCTCAGAACTCTTGCACTCTGAATGCATGTAAAACCAATGCCACATGGATGATGCCAAGGGCTGCTGCCAGTTGGGGCAGTAGCCAGGCTTTCCTCTCTCTTGGATGTAGGGGTCAAGTGCCTGGATGGCTGAGCACTCTGACCCTGATCCCAAGGAACAAATTCTCTGAGCTGGCACTGTTCTGGAATCTGGTGTTGACACCACCTCCATTCTGGAACCTGGTGTGGCTGACACCTCCTTCTGGAACATGAGGCTCTGCAGCTTTCTCCTCAAAGCAAAGTCATCATCCTTGTGATTCTAAGACTGCAAAGGGTGAGAACATGCTACCTCCTGTGATGCCTTCAGGACATCTTTTCTATTCTCCTGTTCCTCCTGCAATAGAGATCTCAGTTCTCTCGTTGCTGTCCACAGCCTTCCTGGCACTTTATTTCCAGCCAAATTCATAACATTTTAAATCATCCTGCTGGGCTCTTTGCTCTTGATTCTCAACATATATCTGAGTAAAACCCTCCAACAATAGCCATACCACTGCCTCAATATTTGACTGCTTTGAGATTTCTGTTTTAAGATTAATTAGCACACTGCACTTAATCTCAGTCTCAAGCAAAGTCTCTGGACAGCAAAGTCTCTGGACAGGAGCAAAATGCAGACAAACTTTCTGCCAAGCCATAACATAAATCATCTGCAGTCCAGCAACCAGTATAGTACTTCTTCCCAGCAGAAACCTTCCCAGCATGGTCTTTACAGGCAGACTTTCTATCAGCATTCTTGTCTTTTGAGCTCTCTCCAGAATCTCCCATACAGAAGAGCCAAAGGCATTTTAGCTTTTTGCTAATAGGTGACATCTCCAAACCTATCTCTTTCCATAAGCCATTCCCAAAAGCTCATAATCCACATTGTCAGTTCTAGTCACAGCAACAATCCCATTCCTCTGGTACAAATTCTGTATTAGGGTTTTACTAGAGGAACAGACATAACACAAGATGGACAAATGTAAAGGGAGTTACAAGATTGGCTTATGACGGTCAGCCACAGAGTTGGGTGAGGAAGCGTGCAGAGGGCATCTGCACAGCCAAGACTGGAGGATTCAGTCCAAGGCCTGGAGCTCACTGCAGAGCTCTGTGCAAGTCTCTGTCGGCCGATGGGTCTGTGATGGAACTGATGAGTCAGCTTGGGCCTCGTCTCCTGGCTTCCAGCACAGACTCTTTGGCCTCTGTCTTGGATCCTTCAGCTTTCCGTTGCAGTCTTCAGCCTTCAGTTGCAGACTGGGTCTCCATTGCAGACCCATCAGCTGACTGATGGAGACTTGCACGGAGCTCTGCAGTGAGCTCCAGGCCTTGGACTGAATCCTCCAGTCTTGGCTGTGCAGACGCCCTGTGCATGCTTCCTCGTCCGACTCTGCGGCTGACCGTTGTAAGCCAGTCTTGTAACTTCCTGTACATTTGTCCACCTTGTGTTACATCTGTTCCTTGTATTATATCTGCTCCTCGAGCAAGACCCTGACTGCTACAGAGAGTCGCCCAGGTGGTCCTCCACATAACTCAGTCTGTATCACACTTTATAAGAGAGGGTCAACTGTTAATAAATGTCTTCATTATTTATGTATTTCTTTATTTGTAGGTATTTGAATTTCAAATAATTTCCATCAATTATGAAATAATTCTTTAAAAATTTTTTTAACCACTTAAGTGTAAAAAAATAAGTTTATAGGTCATACAAAAAATGGGGGCAGTCCATAGATTTGTCCCATGGACTGTAGTTTGTCAGTTCTTGACTTAGAAGATAAGGTTGATGAATATTCAAATCTTCCTGCGTGGTTTTCTTTTCATTAGGATGCTTAATGCCTTTTACACCATGATGACAAACTAATGCCGCACCATTTCTTTTCCCTTTTGCATACAGGTGCTGAAATTTGATGCCTACTTCCAAGAAGATATTCCCACATCAACTGAGGAGCACTATAGAATCCGCCAAGTGAACATTTATTACTATCTAGAAGACGACAGCATGTCTGTCATAGAGCCCATCGTGGAAAACTCTGGGATCCCTCAAGGCAAGTTAATCAAGCGCCACTGCCTGCCCAAGAATGATGTGGGAGACCATTACCACTGGAAAGACCTAAATCGAGGAGTAGACATCACAATTTATGGCAAGACTTTCCGCATTGTCGACTGCGACCAGTTCACACAGGTACACAGTATGGGTTTTTGGAAGCTGGGGGGTGGGGGCGGGCTGAGGCACCATCCTAACTTATGGAAGGTTTATTTGTTAGGGAAGGAGAAGACGCTGGTGCTCTATCCTTCATAAATTATTTTCAGGCTAACTCTGTGTGTGTGTGTGTGTGTGTGTGTGTGTGTGTGTCTGTGTGTACATGTGCTGATCCATGACAAGCCTGTGTGATAACATCAGTCTTTCAGAATAATGTGAATACATATCCAGTCAAAATCCAACTCCATGAGGCTAGGATGTAGTTCAGGGGCACAAGCGCCTGCCTGGCAAGCTCAAGGTCCTGAGTTAGATTCCTGGTACCCCCCACCCCGACCAAAAAAACCCCCCAGATTCCACCATCGCTGAATCATTTGCTATAAAACGATTCAGTGAGTTCAAATAGTCATGGAGGTGATAAGCCTAGTAGAATGGAAGTAGGGAAGAAGCATTGGACGTTTTAAGTGTGAGTTTATCTAATTTTTTGTACAATTTGTGTATAATTTTTTAAAAATTCCTAAAATAAAACCAATGTAAATGAAGAAAACTTTTTCTAAGAAAAACTTTAATATCAAGAAAAATCCTTCATTTTCTCTAATTCTTAAATTTGGATTTTATCTTATACAAAGACAACTTTTCCTGAAGTTCTGTACATGGTGGGAGTGATGGTTTATTCCTTTAGTACAAATCTCAAGTTTGTCTTAATTAAAAAAAATTATTATTTTTAACAGCAAGCATTCAGTGCCCTTTATCTTATGGTACATAATGCCAAGTGTGACTAACTTTTACATTTACTAAGCTCCTATAAGTCCAATTTTTATTTAGTGGTTTACTTAACAGATATTGACTGCTCGCTGTATGCCAGGCACTCTAAGCGCAGCCCTGAGACAGTGAGCTCTGCTCTGGTGCACCCTGTGGTTCCCGACAAGAACAGGGTGGAAGGTAGTGTGCGAGACCGCCTTTGACATGCTGAGCCCGTCCGCCATACTTGGTTTAGGCTTGTGAGTGTCTTCCTATCATAATAAGTAGCTTCAGAGTTGTACCAGCAATAAGAAGTTAGGAAAATTTATCTACACTTAAAAGTACTAACAAATATTTTGTAGTCATTGTCTTTTTCAAAACTTGAGCATTTGTTACTGAGCAGTTGAGCTAATCCAGTTACAGCTGATTCTTGGTACCCGCAGTGGCTATGACCAGTAAAGCCACCAGACACACTAAATTAGCAAATACTGGACAGCTGTTCCTAGGAGGAGGGCAGGCTTAGATTTCTGTCCCTCCCTACTCACAACATTTTTGATAAATAATGCATAAGCTTGTTTAATATATATTGCTAGTCATTAGCATTGAGCTCATGGCCGATAGCAGTGCAGCCCATGCCTGAATGAAGCTTATTTAACACGTGTATTTTTTCCATAAGGCATATAACAGTCTTTCATACAGAGGAATTTAATACGGTAGTATTTAAACAGCGAAGTCACCCAAAAGGGTGGAAAATGTAAAACTTATGCCATTATACAGAAAGGACACTTGTTACAGCCTAAGTGTTGGAACAAGAAGGCAGAGCTTTACCTCGTTGTGTCTCAGAACAGAATGGGCACATTTGTCACCACTAATCTTTGGCACTGTAGCTGTCCGCACGTGGCCATGGTGTACAATAGTGGCAATTACTGACCCCAGGGTTACAAATATATTTTAGAAAGTACAGAAACTCTTGAATCTGGAATCTATAAATAATTAGGATCTGTGTACAGTATTTTAATAACATATTGATTAGAGCTATATATTTGAGATACTAATGACCAGACTGAATTATGTTTTCAACAATCTAAAACTTATACATCTGGGCTAGGATGCAGTGGAGCACAGTTAGCTCCATGGTAGTAGAGTTTGGTTTTCATGTGTGAAGCTCTGGATTCCATCCCAAGTACCACAAAAGAAAGCAGGTAAATAAATAAAATGCATTAGTTACTTCCCTGTCACTAGGACAAATACCCAACACCCATAATTTAAAGTATGAGGAGTTTATTTTGCTTCACCCTTTCCACGGGTTAAGTCAGTAGTCTTCTGGCTCCAAGACAGAAATGCACCGCAGACGAACATGAAAGAGGAAACAGCTCACCTCAGAGGGGACCAGGAAGTCAAGAAAAAGAGAGCAGCAAAGCGACAAGAGTACACCATTCTAGTATCTCCGTCACATCTCACTGACCAGCTCGGAACGCTGAGACAGATGGTCTTATCATGGCCACACATGCCGAGCTGGATGGTTGCAACATGGCCGCACATGTGCCACAGCGTGGCCACACACGCTGAGACAGATGGTCCCAATGTGGCTACACATGTTCTGAGAACAGATGCTCCCAACATGGCTGCACAGGGGCTAAGACAGATGGTCCCAACATGGCCGCACTTGTCGAGCTAGATGGTTTCAACATGGCTGCACATGCTGAGACTGATGGTCCCAACGTGGCCACACATGTGCTGAGACAGATGGTCCCAACGTGGCTGCCCACGTGCTGAGACAGATGGTCCCAACGTGGCTGCACATGCTGAGAACACTGCAGTGAGGCATGTGTACAGCCCTGCTGTTCTGAAACCCACCAACTTGTGTCCTTTCTACTCTTGGGAAATTTCCCTTTCTTCTTACTGCTTCAAGGCATTCCCCTTTTTCTTCCTCCTGGGATACATACAGATAATTTCTTCAAAATGTTTAAACTTTTCTAAAAAGTAGGAAAAACAGTGTACCTCAGCAAACTTGACATTCCTGTGAGAGTCTCTAATGTAAGGTGAAAAGGGGTCTGGTTGTCTGTTGGGTGAAAGAGGAGGAAATAAAGTAAAGCACTAGTAGAGGCCTCAGTCAGTTGCGTTGTTACGCTAAGCCTTTATTTCAAGGGAAGGGCTTTGAGTCATCATCTCCAACTCAGTAGTTTAGTTACTGGAGTCGGCCTAGTAAAACTTGACATAATCAGTCCACAGCCAATGAGCAGCAGAATTAGCTCTGGAGCCCTGGCACTGTGGCTCGGAGTTCTTTGTAACTTTTGCTGAATTGTCCAAAACAAAACTGCACACTTTCTAAAAGAAACCCAAATTTTAGGTTGATTTCTAGTTCCAGAATATAAACATATTATAATGAAATTATTATTTTCTGATTATTAGCAAAGTTATAGGGTGGTACTTTGAATAAGATTAAATGTCAAATTATATTTAGAGATGGGCCAGCCAGAGAGCTCAGCAGCTTAAAGCGCCTGCTTAGGCAGAGCTCAGGGGCCGGGAATTGACCCCTGGCATGCTGTGCCGGCCCCAGCCCCGGGCTCACTGAGATGGTGATTGAGACTGGGTGTGGTGGTGCGCACCTATAATCCCAGCGCTTGGGAGGCTGAAAACGGAAGAATCACTACAGGTCCGACCTATGTAGGGAGACTCTGTAGACCCTGTACCAAATACATTAAAAAAATGTATAAAATTACATTCAAAGATAAAATGAGTCTGAAAATTATGTATTTATTATAAGCAAAATAATAATGAAGATCTTGTCAGATTCAGTGCTTTCTTTTTTATTTCTCTGGTAGGCTTTGAGCATTGGGCTGATACTTCCTATTCTGCAAAAAGATTTTCTGATCTAAAAAACCAGTGGATGTACTCTGGTTTTTTTCTTGGTGAGGAGGAAGAACTTAGCCATAATCTTGTTCTAAAGGAATTGGAAGGTTGGGAATCTGATTTCAGCTTAACTTGGGTGTTGTGCAGCTTGCTGCTCTACCAAATGTGAGTTATTGTTTGAAGTCATTCTTAGGTTCAAGATGTGTACATTTAATCAATCTTAGGACTCATTCTGTTCTTGGGAACCCACTTGATTACTTGACTGTCTACATTGACATCCAAATCTGATTCCCTTACTGCCTAGCTTAGCATATTACCAGTATCACTGTGTTAGTTTCTTTCTGTAGGGGAGGTTTTGGGAATAGAACTCAAGGCCTTCACACTGAGCTGCATCCTCAGTTCTTTTTTAATTTTTGAGACAGGGTCTTACTAAGTTACTGTGTTGTCCAAGCTGCACTCAAACTTGTGATCTTCCTGCATCAGCCTCCCAGAGTGCCAGGATTACACGTCTGTGCTACCACAGCCGGCTAGCAATTTTATAATGTAGAATACTTCAGGAAACATAATTTGCATTATAGAATTCAATCAGTTGCAAGCCGTATTTCTAAGATGGACTCAAACTGAAACTAACTTAATTTGAGCAAAGAAATTATTATTTTTATACTTTCGGTTTTTCATTTAAAGAAACTCTAAGCATGGTGATCATTATTACTTTTGAAATATTTAGGCATTTTTGGAAAGTCAAGGAATTGAATTAAATCCACCGGAGAAGATGGCCCTTGACCCTTACACTGAGCTTCGGAAACAGCCCCTTCGAAAGTACGTCACCCCATCAGATTTTGACCAACTCAAGAGGTTTCTAACCTTTGACAAACAAGTGAGTGGCCGGGAGGGAGCTTTGTTTACAAATGTGACCTGTTATTGGCAAGCACTCTGTACTGGTTCCTGTGCTGACGCTGTGTGTCTGTAGTTTAGCCCTTTGTATACAGCATTACCTTTCTGGTTTCCTCTAGGGTTAGAGAAGTATCAGTGTCTAAGTTTATTATTAGACCTTTAGAGATTGTAGAATTAAGTCCCATGAATCCTGTCAAACGTGTATCTTTTTTTGAAATATTTTTTGTTTTATTTTAAAGAGAATAAAAGTAATGAAACATTAGAGGCCCAGCCAAATAGCTCAGTGGATTAAAGCACCTGCAAGAGGC